GTCAGTGTAGTGAAGGAGAACACAGGTGAGGGCAACCAAATTGTATTTAACGAAAATTACAGAGTTACTCAGTAAAATCGGAAAACCATATCGTAAATCGTTCATTTGCAAAATATCAGTTCATCATATCGAACTGGAGGAATGTTCCTGTTGCAAAACATCAACAATCCATTGTCACTATTCATGCTATTTCATACACAAATTCCATTGTGTTCTAACTCTTACTTTCTCTTGATCTTCCCCCCTTCTTCTGCTGCTAGACATTACGTTTTTACTCACGTCATATACTACTTAGAAGTAGCTCGCACCACATCAGTTGAAAATGTTGGTTTACGCAATCAGTCCTAAGTAATTTGTAATGTCAAATCAATTTCAGCGCTATTTATCTGTTGATGATTTGATCAATTTATTTGATACTTCTATGATTGGTTATAGGGAAATATAATACATTCAACATTGATCTATTGGTATCTGTTAGGATATTCATTCAAAATATCCTAAGAGAATTATTACTGGTAAATTCGTATTGTTTGATTCCTACTGATCAATTTTATGGTCGTCCTAGATATCAATGTCACGTACTCTAATGTTGTTTCTTATTGGTCGTCTTAACTGTCAGTGTCAATTCAAATGTTTTTTCATAGTGGTCGTCTTAACTGTCAATGTTACAGACTTCATTGTTGTTTCCTATTCGACCTAAATGTATAAATACGCATTATTTGTAACGTTTTATGACCTGGACCCGGATCCCTAGTCCAGGATCCTGATTCTCTTCTTGACTCGGACCTCATGTCTTCTGGATATTTGTAGAATACAGGTTCTACTTCATATCGAGTCTTCTTATTTTTACTCAATATGGGGAGTTGGGACACTCGGATTTGAGTAGCATGTCGTGTGGCCGGATCCTCGATGCTCACTCTCGTTTTCCGACCAAACGTAAACTCGTAATAGTTCAAGTATATCAAGTTGACGTGTTTACGTGCAGGCGTAACAATTAAGGTTTCATATAATTTGAAAAATTACTTGATATAAGACTGCGAAATTATTTCGATTGCATAAAACAAGAGTAATTTTCAAAACAAAAACTGACCATCTTCAAACATTGATATAAGTGTTTCAATAGTCATCTTCATCAAATACTAACTATCTCAACTCCATTGCCAAATAAGTTACATTTGTAATGCTGTTAAAGGAAAATCAACGAACAAGAGTTTATTGAGTGAATGTCTTAACGCCTGAATAAATGAATTTGTGTTTGTACTCTTAAATCTCATCACTCACAATTCAAATGCAGCTACAAAGTGATTCGAATATTTTGAAGATGGAAAGGCTGATGTTTATATTCCTTTACATTTCACCAAGGTGAAATAAAATAATGAAAACGTGTTTAACAAACTATGTACAGTTTGTAAGCCTGTTTGAATACAAGTAATTAAAGAAGATAAAGATTTATCTAACCCCTTTATAAGTCGAGGTGTCTGTAGGATTTAATTTGTCCTACAGATGAACTTCTAGAACTAAAAACGCAATATTGGCAAGCACAGAGTCTATGGGAAAGCTATAGTCAAAAGAACAAGACCAATTTTGCTTTAAACTTTATCTGTTTCTAAACATAAAAACAATTAAATTAGTACAATAAATAAGGAAATTACAATTTTATCAAGTAAGACGAGCAAACGTACCGACCAATATAACGTATCTTATGGAAATGAATAAAGTTATGAGTCACATCAATATAATAAGATAAAAATGTCCTTCAATTAGTAGAGGTCATTTACAACAAAGATAGTTTACAGACACATCAAACCAGATCACGTGGTGAACGTTTAAACCACAATTTGATTGGTTAGTTATGGAAATAACTAATACAGAATACTACCATACACAATATGCTTCAAGCAAATCACACATTGAGAAAGAGAAGTCAGTCTAAAAAAAGTGTTTAGTTGACTAAATGTGACATTTTGTTAGAACCTCATGTATCTTCCTTTACTGAGGTAAACTATGAAAACATTTCAAGACTATTTTGCAGCTAGCACAATGTCTCCTTGCTCATGCCACAATTCCATATTTCTTACTATTTTAATCACCGATTTAGTGTCATTCATAATGTGTATGACCTTGTTGTATTTTAAAATAAACAATGGCATTCATTGATTGGATTATTTCTATCTTTGCATTTGCCAATCATATACTTTTCTAAATGTGACCGAACAAACACTGACTGTGTCAGTGTACTTAAATAAGAGTCAAATTGTAAACAGCTTAATCGATGACAATAGAGTTAGTGAACATCATACAATAACTATGTTTAAACCACAAGTACAACTAGTACAAATTATATTCTTATACTTCGTCTGCAATGCAAGTGAGTTAGAATTTATTGTTTCTCATATGTGGATTTTCATTTTCCTATAATGTTCTTGATATGACGATGAACTGGGCGTGGGTATTCATTCAGTTAACATGATATTAATCATTTCTCGTTGATCAATCGTTGTGAATACCTGATCCCGGGAGCAGATCAGTATTCGTTTAAGCATGTTGATAAATACTCTTGATATATTATGCGAATACGTGGCATGAAATCCAATACTTCAATGTAGAATCAGTTCTCCTGTGAACAGAGGTCGACTTTAATGATGAATATCAACTAGCATGGAACTTAAGTCGGTCGACCATTTAGGTGTGCTTGTAATACACTAGACATGTAATAACAGGTGTCTGATGTAAAATAAATCTGGCTTCCGCTGAAATACGACATCAAACTGTTCAAATTATCTTGAGTTTATCATGATAAACCAGTATTTATTTTGTTTGGTTGTCTGAGTTCCACGTCAGGAAAAATCTAGAATCCAGGTTTGTTCATGGTCTACCGGCATCCTTCAAAGAACTGTTGTATTATAGGGGATTGAATTCTACGTCACACAGTTCCACAATATGAGACGTTTACGCGACGTTTACTCTATCACGAGTAAACTTTCTGTCGAAATGAGATATCCTCACTTCACTGACCACTGAGTCACGTCTAATGAATTTAATGATTAGACAATCATCACATGTGACAGTGGTCAAACAATTTTATTTATTTACTGATCGGTAAATTGATGCAGTCTATCTAAAGTCAAGTGATTATTTTGTCTCAATAATTCGCATTCATTGTTTTCCTTACATTATTAAAAGAACACGAAGTGACAGCTCAGTCTAAAGACTTGATGAATTCAGGTAAGTTAATGATTGTTCAACATAAAAGTAATGCTCTATCACCTACTCATTTGTCACCTTAATTCTGAAGTGTATTTGGAAATAATTGAAGTGAATGTTTATATTTGAATCTGATCTATACATTTGTATTTCGTTTGTATAACTACTCACTTATGTGAACACTTGATTAGTGATTGAATATTGAACCAACTGATTCAGCCATGTTCAATTTGTGTCATGTAGGGTAGACGAAATCTATTTCTATCCAAATTAGACATTGATAAACTAGTATGGTAGTGGTTGCAATTTTCACCACTGCCCAATGACTTGCATCATTAGTAGTTTTATTTACTCAATGAAGCTATCGGATTACCCTTGTGGTGCTGTGGTGCGAACTACTTATAAGTAGTATATAGCGTGAGTGTCAACGTAAAGTCTGGTAGCATAATATGAGGGGAAGATCAAGAAAGGAAGAGTTAGATAACAATGGAATTTGTATGAAACGCATGAATAGTGAGTGACAATGGATTGATGTTTGGCAACAGGAACAGTCCAGTTCCATAGGATGAACTGATATTTTGCAAATGAACGATTTACGATATGGTTTTCCGATTTTACCGAGTAACTCTGTAATTTTCGTTAAATACAATTCGGTTGCCTCCACCTGTGTTCTCATTCACTACATTTGGTGTCGCTGCCTGCTCGAAGGAAGGGGCTCCCGTGGCCGAAGGAGTTGCAGGACGGAGATTGGCGGAGCTTCCTGGAGGAGTTTGGGGCCACGGTGGAGCTGGTGGGGGCCTGGGGCGGAGTTGACGGTGCTGGAGACGCTGCGGGGAGGTGAGGCGAAGGCGGTATACGACAGCCTGGACGGTGCCGCCGGGAAGACGGCGTGGGAGACGGTCACCGGGCGGCTGATGACGGAGTTCGACAGCCCGGTGGACAGGGAGGAGGCGCCGCAGAGGTTCCGGTTGGCGAGGCTGTCGGCCGACGGTGACCTGTTGGTGCTTGCTGTGGAGCTCACCGGATTGCGCCGTGAGGAGTGGGCGGGGCACAGTCTTTGGCGTCGCAATTTATCGAGTGTGTGCCTGCCGCCGTGTTCCAGCATCGGGAACTTGTAAACGCTACACGTTGGATAGATGCCGTATCCATTCCAGACCAGTGATCAAGAACGATGACCGAAGTGGTAATCCGGCATATTGTAGCGTGTCACAGAATATGGAAGGTGATATTAACTGACCAGGGGCTCTGTTTTGAAGGACTACGACGACAGCTTATTAAAAGGGGGGACGAGTGTGGTGCTGTGGTGCGAACTACTTATAAGTAGTATATAGCGTGAGTGTCAACGTAAAGTCTGGTAGCATAATATGAGGGGAAGATCAAGAAAGGAAGAGTCAGAAAACAGTGGAATTTGTTTGAAATGCATGAAGAGTGACAATGGATTGATGTTTGGCAACAGGAACAGTCCAGTTCCATAGGATGAACTGATCCTTTGCAAATGAACGATTTACGATATGGTTTTCCGATTTTACTGAGTAACTCTGTAATTTTCGTTAAATACAATTTGGTTGCCTCCTCCTGTGTTCTCATTCACTACACCCTGAATGACATAAATTTCACTCGAAAACACAGTTGTGATGACTATCATGAGGATTTTCATCTTGAGCTCTACTACTAAATTCTATCTATATCTCAAATTCAATATCGTTCAATAACTTTCAGATATCGTCAAAATAATACTCACTGTTTCTATCAAGGAATGGGATCCAATAATCAATGACATTAAAAACAAGAAATGGATGAACATTTTGGATAGTTATCGTGAAAATGTAAGTCTACGAACTATCATAAACATGATCTGATTTGATCAATAATATTTTCCTCTAATCTCATTTAGGCAATGAAAGTGGTGAAAGATTTGGAACCGAAATTGAATTCAGTCCATTTGTCATGTGACATAGATACTAGTCAGCTGCGTGATGAAGGAACAGCGGAAGTTGAACTAACACTGTTATCAAGTCAAATGGAAAATGCATTTTCATCGAAGACATGGTTTCCGGAGTTAAAGAACACACTTGAATCCAGATCTGTCGGTATAGACAGTACATGGATAACCGGTGAGTGACTAACACATTCACACATATATATTATCCAGTGAATATCTATTCCGACACAATATACGATTCAATCAGATCACTTGATATAATCTGTAAACTCCCATCCAAACTAATATATGCTCTAATTCGTTTCAGATATCATTAAAGTTAATAGTAAGTTCAAGATACATTCTGTATAAAAACGACTATGTAATGTTTTGTTAATAAGTAACAAAACATGAGGTCATATGTGAATATGAATTTTTAAAAAAATGTTCATTCTCCATTACCAGGAAAAAGAAACATCGACAGTAGTGAGTTACATTGTTGATACATTTTAGAAATTTATTTTGATATATATAAATTTCTTATTATCTCTTGAGACAATTTCAAATGAAATGTGTACCTTGCATTGTTTCTGATTGTAGTAGAGTGTGATGGCAAGCCTATTCACAAAATTTGTGGCTTCATACATATATTGTGGTGTGAGCTACTTATAAGTAGTATATGACGTGAGTAAAAACGTAATATCTGGTGACAGCAGAAGATGGGGGAAGAGCAAGAAAGGAAGAGTTAGAAAACAATGGAATTTGTATGAAACGCATGAACAGTGAAATGTCAGGCAATGGATTGATGTTTTGCAACAGGAACAGTCTAGTTCGATATGATGAACTGATATTTTGCAAATTAACGAGTTACGATATGGTTTTTCGATTTTACTGAGTAACTCTATAATATTCGTTAAATACAATTCAGTTGCCCCACCTGTGTTCTCGTTCACTACAATATGACCTAATCTTTTCAACTGATTTCCACAAATTGGTCAGTCACATCAACCCCATTATAGTGATGATTACAACATATATATCACACAAATTTCAAGTAAAATTCCAACGCGAATTCCAACGAATTCTCTCACTGTCAACTAACACATAGCGATTAAGTGACTGACTGGAAATATTATCTTGAACTGTCATTCTCTCAACGGTTAGGCTAACCTGTTTAGCTAGCAGTTGGATTTAAATGTATCTGACTCAGTAGTGTATAATAAATGAACATTTTCTTGATGAGAATCCTTTGATACAGTGAGACAACATTTACTGTCTAACTTTCACCTATCCATTTCAACAAACCTTTCAATTGCTTAAATTAAGGATGACTTCGTTAGTGATTCTAAACCATTTAGGCGAGTTTCTTGTTGTTTCTAACCGTAAACTTACCTTTGAACACGATGTATGTAATTGTTATTTAAGAGTGGAATTTTATTTCACAAAGAATAATACCGATGTAATATTTCACATTTTAGAATATTACCCGTTCAAAAAGTTTTTTTATCTCTACGATACATATGCGTATTCTTGTTCTAAGGTGAGATTTAATTTTTTTTTTTTGTATGTTGTACTTAATGAAGTTTTGTCTGCATTGAATACGTTTAAGTGTGTTTTGGTAGAATTTTTCAGATTTTGTAGTTTGTAACGATTGTTTGCTTGAGGAAAATTACATATCTTCATCGTACAGAGAATTTCACAGTATCATCAACATAACATCAGTCAATTTATGACGTGTTGATATTAGTTCAACTCATCTTCTCATTTAATAGCTTATTGACATGAATGTAGTTCTTACTTACTTACTTACTTACTTACTTACTTACGCCTGTTACCCCCAATAGAGGAGCATAGGCAGCCCACCAGTTTTCTCCAACCAACTCTGTCTGTCCTGGGTTTCCCTCTCCAGTTCTCTCCAATGTTTGTTCATTCCTCTCATATCTTTCTCTATTTCTCGACGTAATGTGTTTCTTGGCCTTCCTCTTTTCCTTTTGCCTTGAGGGTTCCATGTGAGGGCTTGTCTTGTGACGCAGTTAGGTGCTTTTCATAGTGTGTATCCTATCCACCAACTCCACCGCTTCTTCCTGATTTCCTCCTCCACTGGAATTTGGTTTGTTCTCTCCCACAGTTCGTTGTTGCTGATGGTGTCTGGCCAACGAATACGAAGTATTTTGTGTAGACAACTGTTAATAAACACTTGTATCTTCTGGATGATGGCTTTCGTAGTTCTCCGAGTTTCCGCTCCATACAGTAGAACTGTCTTGACATTAGTATTGAAAATCCTGATTTTGGTTTTGGTTGAAAGTTGTTTGGAGTTCCAGATATTTTTCAACTGCAGAAATGCAGCCGCTGCTTTGCCAATCCGTGCCCTCACATCTTTATGGGATCCACCTTGATTGTCGATGATGCTGCCAAGATATGTAAACGTGTTAACGTCCTCCAAGACATCTTCTTCATCAAGAGTGATTTGATTGGACATGAATGTAGTGGTAGTACATCGTAATAATGTGAAATTTCATTGCATTTGTTGTTGAAGAACGCGTACTAACGTATGGAAATCTGTTTGACTGAAAAGAAATATACAGGATTTTGTTAAAATGCAAAGATTCATACTCACAGTATTTCAGTAGCATTGTGAATAGAGGAGCACGTGACGATCTATGATAAAATTATCTGGTTATTTAAATTTCAGTTGAAAGATGTTATGTCAAAGAAATTTGAAGGAATCGGAAGAGCAGTGGAGAATTGTGATTTCAATTTAACATCAAGTGAAGTAATTTTGAAAGTCAACAAGGAGAAACTAATCGATACAGGCTATTGTTGTAATGAATACAATTTACTAATCCGGATTCACCTGTCGGTCATTGATTATCTACGTGGTTTAACAGGTAGAAGGCATTTTAATATAAAATTTGTGAATACTAGTCATTGATTTTCATAAGTAATATGCGAAAAAATGGCGAACAAACTATGTTGCATTAATTAGGAATGTTAGGGTACATGAACGTGAACAGAATAATAATCACACAGATTAAGTACAACTATATGAAAACACAAAGTGAACAGGAGCTGAGTGAACCATACATAGTCAGTCAGTCAGTTGCAACGTAGAACTTCGTACGTAAGTACATCAGTTCATGTCGCCATACCACATCAGCTCAGAGATGTAATTGTCAATTCAAATCCAATGATGGCAGTAGAGGTAGTAAGGGTATTAGAAGTAATCGGAGAGGTTAGGATGAGAAGATATTATTCAAGAAGTATGATTAAATGAGAAAAGTTTAGAAAGTCAAAACTAGAGGTGTTGACGAATCCAGAAGATTACGATTTGAGAGAACATAAAGAATAAATGCAACCATACATAACAAACACAATGTCATATAAACTCAAAAGGAAAGCGATAAAGAAATTCAGTAGGACTATTTGAATATTTAGAAAAATTGAGTTTCACTTAATAAAATTTGATGAAAATCTGATCGAGTTAACAAGATGATAGATAGATAGATAGATAGATAGATAGATAGATAGATAGATAGAATCAAAATCAATTTTCAAAAATGTTGAATATTGTTCCTGTAGTGGATTAAATTGCGATGATTTGTGTGCAGTCGCATTGATTTGTAAATCGGTCAGTCAGTTGCAACGTAGAACTCCGTAAGTATGTACATAAGTTCATATAGCCATACCACATTACCACACAGAGACGCAAATGTCAAATCAAATCCCATAAAGATAAAGATAGTAGGGGTATTAATGGTAATGAAGAAGACTAGGGTTTGAAGATATTATTCAAGAAGTATAATTCAGTGAGATATGGTTAGAAAGACAAAAATAGAGGTGCTGACGAACATGAGGATTTGAAAGAGTTCAAAGAATGGATGCACTTGCGCCATTGCAAACGATTTTGAGCCATGTCGTTCAAGGTCCGTAACCATGTCTCGCGGACCCCAACCAGGTAGTCTACATCTACCAACATGAGTCAGTCCACTTGTCAGCGATTTGTCAATGTGTGTGTGGCATGTCCATCACTATTATGTGATCATCATTGCAATATCATGCATAATATTAGCCAACATGTGTCTCTGGAACAAAATGTCATCATGTATGCAATCTCATGTATGCATACGAGCAAAAGCACATACATGGTTTGTCACACAAACATGAGTTTTGACCTGTACTATTGTCCTGTTGAATTTTCTCCTCTGTTTTATTTTCTCAATCTCTTTCTGTAATGTAGAAGTTATAGTGCCTGTAATCCCGAAACCAAATAAAACTGAAAACAAAACTGTTAATAATAAAACAACACCAAGTGAGTGAGTGATATCATCCAGACATTCCTACTTTAACATAAAGATAATGTTAACCATGATAACAATCTTGAATATGTTCTCATAATCATGATCAAAACGTCAGGAACAACAACATGTTACTCTGTCTATCTAGAATAAATTGTATTAAGTGTTTTCCTCTGTTTTATTTCATAATTTCTTTCTGTCATGTTAAATTACAGAGCCAATCATACCACCTGTAACAGAACCAAATGGAAATGGTGGTGAAGAGGGACCATCAAGTGAGTGATATATCCGAATGATTTGTTTGCATTTACTAAATCATAAGTTTTATCATCAGTTTATTGTATTTCTTATGCTCACAACTTTGTAATAGTTGTATCTTACTGTACTAACTGTATAGAATAGAATGGATTTATGTTATCCTACCGTTTAGTTCAATGCTATCCACAACATTTCCGTGATGATTATATTTCAATGATTTACATTCTTCATACTTTTCATACTTCTTCACATTGTTTCACTCTATTCTATGCTATTAATTTTGATTGGAATCCTTTCCTTCCTTGTGAGAAGGCAGCGTCGCTGCAGATGCTGGTTTTTCCTAGGGAAACTGTACACTTCTTTCACGCCTCTCTACAGTCAGCAGTACGACTTCGCCCTCAGACCTCGAGTAGCTGCTTTCAGGGTCATCGTTCTTCAGTCGACCTGCTTAGCATGGTAGAACCTACAGGAACATATATTCCAGCTACGGTCGGGGCCCTTTTTTACCATTCTGATCATTTTGATTTCGATTTGCGCCCACTGACTGACTCAATATGCACATTTTTTCTCTACGTTCTCCATTTCGATCCATCATTAATCCCTACTTACTGAAAATGTTACTTACTTTCTTATCATCTTCATGAAGAATCGTTTTGACTACATTTTTTTATTATACTGTGCTGTTGACCACTCTGTTAATCAACATTCTCAGTATGTTATGCAATCATACCAAACTGCAACATCACTCCATATCCTTATATAGACTGAATTTTTTATGTTTTCCATCAAAATCATTTTCAAGTTTGGCCTCCAATAATAAGAATCTCCGAATTGGACAAACTGAAATTGAACTTTACAGGTAACGCTCAAAATTTATTTTGTCAAAAACACTTCTGTTGATTACATCAATAAAACATTTCAGCTTGAATATTCGAACCAATTTTGATGGTCACGCGTTTCGTCCTGTTTCTGAATCACTAGCCAGATGAATCGTCATAAGAGCTATGTAGATGCAATCCTCCGTAATGTCGTATTTCGCTCTTTTGAATACTATTTGTAACAACCTGTAGACATAGTTTATTCAAGTACGTTTATGATTTGACGAAGAATAAGAAAGATGTGTCACTGTCGTCTAGGATGACAGTGAAAAGCTCACAGTCGGACCATATTAGTCAATCAACTCATTAAGAAAAATATATTCTTAATAAGTTTAAAATTTCAATCACTCATCTTCATACATTTTTGTCAGCTTGAGAATTCAGATGAAAAATGGATCGATATTCAACTATGCTGATAGCTGGTTCACATATTTTTAACTGTATTACGCGGTTCTGTAATGAAAAAGCACTTAATTTCAACTATCAAGTTCGTAATTCGATTGAGACAATCAAGTTTAAATGAATGCAAACTTCATCGTTGGTTAAGTATGGATTAACACTATCCAAGTTATTCAACCAACGTATTTAACATTGCTTCCCATTAACCTGTATCAATATATATCATTCCTTTATAAGTGACCATAATTCATCTGCAATTCTCATCGTAAAATATCACTTGTTTATCTTTCCAATAATAGGCTACTGTATTTATGCTTCATTTCCATCCCGTAAGTTTTGAACTGTCTCTCTCTCTCTCTTTCTCACTGTATGTATATCATCAAAACAAAATGAAGTTGAATGATCATGTGTGAATAGTGAAATCTGTTATAACCATCCACTATCCTAAGACATTACATACAGTTACCATTTAGTGTGGAACATTATTTCGGTGCGCTACGGCATTTGATTAGTATTCGTTATCGTAACGCACCCTGCTGCTGGTGCGTTCGTAAATGTCAGGAATTGATCTCAGCATTATTCAGACATCAGTTTTCAAAACTAATGAAAGAAAACTGTAGTGATTTACTGTTTATTTACTCTTTCGGCTTTTGTGCAAACACGAAACATCATGAATACATATAAATCGAGCATTATTATTACTCAACAATATTTTGATCGAATGACAGTGAAAAACTGAATCTTACCAGCTGATAGCAAAAAGAATACTGCTAAACGAATTGAATGTTCTTTGCCAGTTGTGTAGAGCAGATGAATCGACACAAACCATAAATCTTAACACGAAATTATAAGTCTTATAAAAAGTCATAAGATTTGCTACTCATTTGAGATTACATGTGTAAAACATTTACCACTCAACATCACTCACTATCCATATTGAAAATACATCTGCTAACTGATTGATTACAGCTTATCAAGGCAGAACTACAAAATCAGAAGGTTTATCAGCACAAGGCACCTGTAGAAATGTTTATTAGTTTAGTGTCTCATCAAACATTAGTATAGGGAAAGTCAGTATGTGTTTCCGTATCATTTATGTAGATGTAATCTGAGCCATGAATCGCACTATTTATTTGTTGTACAATTTAACAGAACAGTGAGAAGCGCCACGAGAAGTGAGTAGTGGAACGGTATATTGCAATTAATTTTTATTAAAATATCAATGATTGTACAGTTATTATTGATACCACGTTTTGTTGATTTTCGATGATCAATAAACCTTTCTAAGTAATCTTTGCTTTTCATCTCAATAGTAACAGTAGACTATTCAACTTGTTTGCAGTGTGATATAATCAATGTTTATGAATGAGTACTAGTTCGCACCTAATTTAGTAATTAGTGGTCCATGAAATATAAGTTACTTTTGTTGTAAGTGCAGTCGACAGTTTATAAAGTTCTGTGTTCAGTATGTCCTGTTTAATGACATTATTTGTGTATTCTGTTAATGTGAAATCTACTTATTTTATTCTGCATTTGTCGTCTGTTTATTGTTTCATCCCATTAATGACATTCACACTGTATAATGAACCAGTTACCTTTGATTTCTGATGTTTGTTTAGTTGGTATAATTAGATATCACATGTCACAGATAGTTTCCGACTCCCATTAGCAAATCTCGTAGATGCGTGACAAGTTGGAGGATGTACATATTTTGATTGAAGGGTTTCATGAAATCCACTCAATTCGTTAGTGGTAGTTAATCTCTATTTGACATCAGATAGAAACGACACTGGTGCTAATCATGAATCATTCTGTAGGAGCTAGACACTAGAAAACATAGCTGCTTCCAATGTGTGTGTTGATAATCCTTTGAATGCTTGTGCTGCAGTGAAGCATCTTTCTCATTATTAGCCAGTTTATGATAGTGCTTTGAAGGATGTCAATGGATTACGGGAACCAACAATCCAACATTAAACTAATCGCCATCAAATCTGTCGATTAAAATACTTTTTTATTTCATAAAATTGTTTCACTCCTTGTTGTCTTACGACTACATATAGTCTAGTATATCATTTTATTGTAATAGTAGATCAATATTCTGACCTATATCTTCATGTGCAAAATACTTCAGAGATCGATAAATTCCATTCTATTCTTATTGACTACAGATGACTAATTCTTCAATATCATAATCATCAGAATGAGTATAACACAAATGCCTGCTGTAACATTTTGAATTAATTCACAAAAGTCACGTATAAAACAAACTAGATCATTTTCAATATTCATTAAACAAATATACCAAACATTTTCTAATTAAAACCTCACTTCACATCAGATTCCATAACTACTGTCTAAACTTGAATAAACTTTAACATTATTCTTCATTTCATTACCTAATTTTAACATATAACACTAAAATAGAATCATGGACGTGTTTACTTTGGTTGAGTGAAGTTAAAAATCTTGACCATTTAGGATGAAACACGTTTAGGGGCATGGATGCCCTTAGTTAAATCCACATTATTTAAAGTTAACTAGCCTCGGTTAACTTGAAACACGGGTTAATCGGAGATATATTTAGAATGCCTAGGACTCTAAAGAACATAAATTTACATGTCGTTAGGCAATGAAACATTTAGTGTCGGTTAGGAAGAATTTAAAGACGGTGTAATTTATGTGACTTAGAGAATTGAGGATGACGTTCGAAATGTTTGAAACGAACGTTACAAAACGCAAGTCAATAATGTACTTCCGTAATGCAGTTAGATTTTAATTATATATCAGTGATTGTACAGTTGTTATTGATACTCAGTTTTGTTGATTGCTGATGACAAATTGATCATTCTAGGCGATCTTTGGTTTCCGTCTCAATAGTAACAGTGGAAAATTCAACTTGTTTGCAGTATGATATAATCAGTGTTTATGTATAAGTACTAGTTCTCACCCGATTTAGTAATTAGTGGGCCTTGGAAGCAAAGGTACTTTGTTGTATCTGCAGTCAACATTATATAAAGTTATGCAATCAAACATATCATAGCCTCTGAATCAATTGCCTATTCGATACTGTAACGATCGGAACAAAACTTTCCAATTTGCACATGCATACTTTTTATTTAGCTACCATAACAACCCCTTTCTGTAGGTTGCATCAAAGTTTTGATTATGTTTATCCTAATGACCTGAACTTGTCTGTATTGAATTTCGGTACATGCACAGTAAAAAAAATTCACTGTAATCTAAAAAGATAAGAATAAAAATGTGAACTAAAATGGATCGCGTCATCTTGAAGCAGTTCATAGATAAGGACATAGCCTGAATCTTGCTACTATGTTCAGAAATATAAATAGAAGTGTCGTAGTTTGAAACAGCTAACTTAGTTAGGAATAAATCGAAAGAGAACGTGGTACGTACGTGGATAAGAGTGAGCCGCAAAACTTGACCTTCAAGTTTCGATGATATGAAACCGAAATTTAAATAGACGCCCGTCCGAGAAGGACACTATCCAATATTCAATATCATTTACACGAGCTAGTATAAACCAGTCGATTTCTTTGCTCGCAATTCTTGTATTTCCGGCACGGTTCCAGGTGTTTGGTACTGTCCAATGGATGGAGGTCTAGCCACTCGACTGCACTGATTCTAGTCAGTTGGCAGTTGTTTGTGAGATTGTATTCCCGTGATCTGAATATGTGCATTTGTCTCATGTCAGTAGGGTTTCTGGATACCAGCAGCTATCACGTTGTCA